ATTACAACAATAAATATCAAGAATGATGATATTTATTATAATTTCAATTATCTAAAAATTGTTTTATATTTTATTTTTGCATTCCACAAATCCAAAGAAATACTCGATATTAGAATCGAAACATTTTACATATATTTCGAAACATCAATCTATAAAAAAATAAATTTTTGACTATCTATCAAAAATTTGTGAATTGTCTATCTGTTATATATTTTAGATTATTTGTTGCAATATATTTTAAAAAATAATAGATAAAAAGTTGCATCATGCTGACATGATATTGTTAACATATTCAATATATTTCAATTGTAACTAAGTTAAAAAAAGTTTTTTATTAATATTTCGAAAATTAATTCGATTCGGAACTAAAAATTTTATATTGAAGATTCTATCCCTTCTTTCTTTCTTATTTTAAAATTTCAATTCGTTCGGCCAAAAAATACATACTGCATTTAATCCAAATAGGATAAGACACGAATAGGACGAATAGGAATTTCGAATAATGGTATTAATATTAATTATATGATTATTATGGTATTAATTATTAATACAAAAAAGTTATATTAATTAATATTAATTATAAAAAAAACCGAAATTATAACATTGTATCAAAGCTATGTTATTTTCATTAAATGAAAAAATTTTGCATAAAAATTTTTTTTGTAATAATGTAGCTATGGAAGTTAATTATTAGCTAGTGTTAATAATGCTATAACAAAGTGAGTTTTTAACTGTAGTATATTTTAATTGTTTTTTTTATTTATGTAATAAAAAATGGTATTTTTATAAGTGATATTTTTACTTTCAAATAATTCTCACAATATAAGAATTTGATTATTTAATGGCTTTGCAAGCTCATACGTGTTACAAGTCTTTTTATATTTTCTCGTCATATGGTTTTTTACCATATACAAAAAAATCTAATTTAGAAACATCAAAATCTTTAATATGATGAATTTGATAAAATAATATAATAAATATAATATAATAAATTTAAATAATAATTTTTTTATTTTTTAATATATAATTTTTATATATCTTTAATATAATAAATTTGAATTTTAAAATGAATTAATGAATTTATAAATTTTATATTTTCTATTTTTATATTGTGCAATAAGAAAAATATATTACATTTTTGGAAAGATATTTTTCAGATTTGTTCTTAAAATAAACGAACAGTAGTTGTTTCATAATATAAATTTTTATAAATTAATACAAAATTATAATAAATTTAATCTTTGCTATATATACACTATAAAAAATAGATAGTTACTTGTTTGTTCCAATGATAATTTTATATTTCATCTTTTACTAAAATTATAATTTTCAGAATATATAATGGGTGAATTAATGACTACATTTAATAAATACATATTTATTCATAGAGAATAAATGCAAAATGCAAAAAATAAAATATGAAATAATCCTTAAATGATTAAAATTACAATAATCGAAATGATAATGATTTATTATATCAATCAAATAATTGTATTGTATTGTAAATAATTATTGCATTTCATACACGTGCTATTATAAATATATATGTATAAACGAAATTCAATATAGTGATAATACTATTTTTTATTTTTATTTCAATATTTCGAAAATTAAACTCGATCGCTGATTATATTTATAAGATTATTTAAAATCTCATCCTCTGTGTATTTAAAAATTATCAAAATTGGAGAGATAATTATACGTATTTCTTAACAAAATCTATAAAAAGATAAAAAATATAAAATTTTTTTTTTATATTCCATATGTGTCATTTTCATAGACAAGAGTTTCTCATCAATATTTCAAATTTATTATAAAGAAAAAGAAAAAAATAATTTTTATTAATAACACTTTATGTATATTTTATCTATGAAATATTATGGCAACATATCATTCGCTTTTTCTTATTTAATACATAAAATTTTCTGTAAAATTTATGACACACACACATACATACATGTACATATATTTTATCGAAATATTACATAAATAAAATTAAAGAAAATTACACGAGAAAAAAATGGAAAATAAAAATTATAACTAAATAAAATGAAAATTAAATACATATTAAATTCTACCTATCTAAAATAGCACCAACATAGCGTCCATCCGTAAAAGTTAAAAGAGCAGGACCATCCCAAGGTTCCATTGCACATGCAGCCCAGTGATAAAAATCTCGTTTTTCTGTTGCCATCGTTAAATCGTTTTGCCATGCTTCTGGTACCATTGTCATTACTGCCTAAATATATATTTTCTTCAGATTTCCTTCAATCGTCATAAATAAATGAAAAAGCGAATCAAAACTACTATACTATATAATATCATACAATTTCACAATTATATATTATATATATGTTTCACGTACCTCTGGTAAAGATCGTTGACCCACCATTACCAAAAATTCTAAAACACAATCAACGGCCCCTGAATCCGAGAGATTTGGCTCTACTACAGGATAAAGCTGTTTCAATTGTTCGCCAAAAAGTTTACTACTCATCACTCCTTCACGGGCTTTCATTAGGTTCACGTTACCTCTTAAAGTATTAATTTCACCATTGTGCGCTAATAATCTATAAACATCGAATTATATGAATATTCATATAATATCATGTGTATGCGCATATATATTGCAATTTATGATTATTAAACATTGTTTACCGAAGAGGATGCGCTCTTTCCCAACTAGGAAATGTATTTGTAGAGAATCTTGTATGAACTAATGCCAAATAGGTTTCAAAATTTGGAGACTATAATAAATATAAATAAAATATTATTTATATATGTGGTATTTTTATAAGATAATTATATATTTATATATATAATCTGAATAAAGATATAAAGAGATCATAAATAATTGTTATTTATATATTAATCGACTGTATTCAGTGTTAAAATAATATTTATAATTTTTTTTTAATTAGATTTATTTTATGATCTAATTATATCTCTAAATAAACTATATATTATTATATACCTTCAAATCTAAAAAATAAAGCCATAATTGATCCGCCGTCAATTGTCCTTTGTAAACTATTGTTCGTATAGAAAGTGAGCATATGTAATATCTAATTCCTAATTGTGGTATAGAATGGGATGATCTTTTCCTCAAAATAAAAACCTATGTGTAAAAAAGTGGAAATCTAAGTTAGATTTAGAATTCAACAAATTAATATTATAAATTTAAATGAAAAATTAAAATATTAAGACGACAATTATTTTTATTTTATTTTTTTATTTATCGAGATATTATATATTAAAATTACTTATTTTTTTGTATTTCTTTAAAGCTATCAGTTATTCAATAGTTATTTTGCATTTATATAAATTAATATATATAATATAATATAATTAATATAATATAATTTTATTAATGTTTTGGTAATATTAAAATTGAACTATATATCAAAAGTAAGAATACTAAAGAATTCGGCTTAATCTAAAAATAAGAATAGAAGACAATTACTGAATATATAAGCATAAATAATTATTATTATAAGTTTTGTAAAAAAAAAATCAAATAAAAATCTTGTAAAAAATAAAAACTTCAAAGAATAATTAATATGCATACTTTTATTGCAATATTATTTTATATTATTTTTGCATTTTTTAATGAAAAGTTTTTTATTTGAAATAAATTATTTATATTTTATGGAATTTCGTAAATATTTCTGGAAAAATCTATCTAAAATCTATTTAGAAAAAATATAGAAATGAATTTTAAATTAGTATTTTTCAAAGGAACATATGCATACTATATATTATCGCTATAAATAGTTTATATGAATTCAATATTTTACTAAAAATATGCAAGAATTAAATATCAAAATCAAAAATCAAAAATATTTCACAATTCAAGAATGTTACTATTTTTGATAATATCAGAATTTCCAAAAAATTGGAGATTAACTTTTCGATTTTGATAAATTCAAATATATTGTATATGTAAGATACCGAATGATGCAACAATAGGAAAAATTCAAGTATTTTATATGATAATAATATATACTTGCAAATATGGCATAATAAAACCGAATGAAAATAGGTCGAAATAGAAAAAAAAAAAAAATTAAGAAAATTAATTAAAGTAAAAAGACATTGGCTGTGAATATTATCAATAAATTCAATTTTATAGAGTTTTTCTATCATATTTGTGTGTACGATTACTATATTTTTTTTACAAACTTTTACATATTTTACATAAAAAGATCAAATATTGAGCAATATTTTTCTGTACAAATAAGCAATTCGATTTTTAAAAATATTTACAAAAATTATATGTTTCAAAATTATTATTCAAACGAATATATACGTTCGTGATATATAATTGTTTTTACAAATAAAAATATATCATAGCAGTTGAATTGATCCAATCCAAATGAATTGATTAAAAAGTTATTTTTCCATGGATTTGAAATATTTTTATAAAAAGTTTAGATTTTACGAAAATTGAATTTTTTGAATCTGTGAAAAACGAAAATAAAATATAAAATTTTTGTGTAACTGAAATTATAATAATCGAATGATTACAATGATAATCATAACAATATAAACTATTAATATCAGCATAATTTTTAGGATCCATTAATGAATATTATAATATATATTTTAATATTATATATATATATTTTGGTTGTCAAAGGATTATTTTATATTTTTCTTTCGAACTCTATAAATTTGAAAAATCTATATGTCGAAATTGAAATATTTGAAATCTATCAAAATCCATAAGAGAATAACTTTTTGATTGGTTAATTTTTTATTAACTTTTTATTTGTTATATGTTTTAAATGTCGACTATTACAATATATTATTATTAATATATTATTTATTTTTATATTATATGTATCATATTATATAAATAGAAAATATGTGTAACAAAATTCTATATGAAAGTAATATTTTTTTTTGCAAACATTTAGAAAATAAAGAATATATGAAAAAAATTCGAAGATGTATACTTACTTACTTAATAAATATTAGTGATGGGATATTTGTAGAAACTACATACTAGTAAACAATTTATTTTTTGCATGAGCGATTCTCATAATGTAATAATAGTGGACAAGTTGAAGTAAATTGTATATTTTAAAATACTAGATAATAGATACTGATGAATATAATTAGATATCATCAATTATTCAATACTTGATTACTATAGTGAAAATTATTATATTAATAATAGCATACAACATATTAGTAATGTCTATATATACAACTTTACTCAATTATACTAAAAATTTTTATTAATATCTCAGAAATTAATAAATATTCAAATTAGAGTTTTAGATCTAACAAATAATGTTATAACTTTTAATTGTAAGATTCATTTCTTTTGTCCTATATTACTTTAAAATTTCTTAATGATTAGCAACTGAAGCTTTTCGAAATAACAGTTTTTTGCGAATAACTCGAAAATTAAAACCGATACTTATGTTTAAAGGAAAAACTTCAGAACTTCTTCACAATATATTTCAAATTCATTAAGATCGATGAAGAGGAAATTAATCAATAGATTGATTGAAAAATTTAAAATATGTTTTGAAAAATCAAATTTTGTTTTGAAATTGTTTAAAAAATCACTATCAATTTCCATTAAAAAAAGTTTTTTTATACTTCTTTTAAATAAATATTCAATTTAATTTAAGTATTAAAAAAAATATTATAAATAAAAATATTATAAAAAATTTGTTATTTTAAAGATTTTTTAAATTCCTCATTTGTCACAGAAATAAGTGATTTTTAAAATATTTCGAACGTTATTAGTACATTAGTTGCTGCAAGATGTAGATTAGCAGCAATTTAAAAAATAAAATAATTCTTAGACAATACAATAATTAAATTCATAACTATAAAATTTACAATCAAACCAAATTTATTTAGGAAATATCTATAATAAATTTGAATTAAAAATTTTGTTTTAGCGATATAAAATAACGATATCAAATATTATTCAAATATTTGTATATGATATGCATAATATTTTTTTGTATTTTTTTTGTATTATTTTGTATTATTTTATGTATTATATATATATATCGTTCAAAACGATAATGTTGATAATATATATATTTCATATATTAAAATATATTATTTTATGACATGAAAATTAGTGAGATAGTTTATATTTTAAATATAAAAAATTTAATTTTATTTAAAATGAAAAATTTAATGTAAATTATCTAATAAATTGAACAATTGAATATTGAGCAATATAATTCAAATAATATCAGATATAGATAAAATATTATTCAAAATAATACATACTTGACGTTCAAGATTAATATTGTCTTCATTACCAGCAACAAAGACTTGACGCATGTAAGGTTCACATTTTCGCGCTACTTGACCAATTCGTATGTTGTCTGTTGGAATATCTCGCCAACAAATTACCTAAAAATAATATTGTAAAAAAAAGATATAAAAATTATTATTTTAATTTTTTATTTTATAATTATATTATACTATATGATAAATATTGAATAAATACAAAAAATTCAGAATTTAAACATTATTTTTGATATAACTTGAACAAAATTTTTGTAAATATTTTTATATAAAAATGGATATTAATATAAAAATGGATAGTGAATAAAAGCCAAATTTGAAAATCGAATAAAACATAATAAAAAAACATTAATACAATATTGAAATTTTTTTTATTAAATAAAATTATCAATATTATTTGTAAAAATTTATTAAGTTAAATCAAATTTAATACAATTTAAATCGTATTTATCTATGTAATAATCTATGTATAATCTATGTAATAAATATATCTAATAAATGATAATTTTTTTCATCTGTTAACTTTTATAATAAATAAATAAATATAATTTAAATTATTATACTCTATTTATATAAATTATATTTTAATGATAATCTTAAAAATTCTTAAAAAATCTTAAAAATATTTATAATTATTATATTCATAAAAATTTGATTAAAAAAATAAGAAATAAAAAAGGTCTATTATTATATTACTATTCGAAGCATAAATTCGAGTAAATCAGATTACTTTATTTGATCATTATCAACTTTAATTAAGATACACAATCCCTAATTATGTCAATATTACTAGTTCATTGATAAATAAATCACTAATAACAAAATTCTATATTTAATAGTTGAGATAAAATTTTTATCGATTAATTTTTATTTTAAAAATTTTTTCCATTTCTTTTTTTTACACAAAGTAGTAAATGTTTTCGTTTATTTGAATAATATTAAAATTTGATTCATTATTAAATAAATTTTCGTAAAATCGGTTTTACTTATAAATTGTTTAATAAATGTTAAATTATATTTGTTAAATTACGAAAATATTTTTCTTGATAATCAGTGTTAAAATTTTATTTTTATATGTATATATAAATTTTTTTTTTTAAATAGTGATATATCTTATTAAAATGAATTATATAATATTAATATGAAGATCAAATTGAATTGAAATTATAAAAAAAAATGTTTTAACAAGAATTTGATTTAAAAAGAAACATAAAATAGTAAATTTCAATAATAGAAGATGATTTCAATAATAATAGAGAAATTTTAATAATAATAGAGAAATTTCAATAATAATAATAGAGATGATTTTAAGATCAATCAATATTAATTTTTTCAAACTATTTTTTTTTTTTGAATATACAATTTTGAATGTAATAATCGATTTATTAGGTATTTATTTATATAGGTATCAGTATAGAAAAATACCTATTTATGTCGAAAAATTATTATAATTTGAATTTCATAAAATTTACCACATGAAAAATAAGGAATTTGTAATAGTATTTTACTATACTATGTTTTTCTTATCTTTTATATGTAAATTTTACAAATTTTAATTAAAATATCTTCTAAATTCATGATTTTTCCATTTATATAAGTAAATTTTTTTTATGAAATACACAAATCTCTTAAAACATATTTTATTAAAAAAAAAAATTTAAAAGAAACATTATTTCATATAATATTTATATTACATTTCTTTAATATGAAGATATGATTCAAATTTTAATTTTTTTATGAAATGAAAATTTTGTACTACTTCTGTATATCATGCGATGTATATCATTTTTATGATTTCATAAATATCTATGAATGTTTTGATTTTAAAAAATTATTTTTTAAATGTTTTACTAATTTTTTTACATATTTTGTAATATGTAACGATATTAAAACATAACATACTCTTTTAAATATGTGTTTTTTCGTTTGCTAAATATTCGTAATTTTTATTTTTTACATTTTAACATTTTAATACTTTACAAACTTTTAATATTTTAAAATAATATTATTTTTTAAAAACAAAGAAATATGAAATAATACGAAAAATATTAAAATATTAAAAAAATTAAAAATACAAAATATAATTTAAATATTAATCTTTTAAAAAGATAATTAAAAATAATAATAAAATAATAATAAAATAACTAAAAATATTCATTAATTTACCTATATATACATATTTTATATACATTTTGATTTTATATTAAGAACAAAATTTAAATATGTGAATTTCAAGAAATGATAATAATAAAATATTCCAAATAAATGAAAAATATATTTTTTTTTTGAAATAAAAAAAAATCAGAAATAAAGAAATTTCTGTAGAGAAATAAAGAAATTTCAAGTAAATCAACATATTTCCCGCGAATTTATTCTTAGAGTACTCTCCTTTTTTATCACGCCAGCGAACAATATTTGAACAATTATCTGTCATGTTACCATTCAAACTGAAGTCTGTTTTTCATTTTATTTTATTTAATGCAAATTTTAATTGTTCATAATTTAATAAATAAGTTTCATAAGTTTCCATATTTTTATATACCAATTTTTGTATTTGTTTGTAAGGCTTTGAATATATCTGATATATTAAACAATTTGTAAATGAAAAATAAAAATATTAAAAATAAGATTATTTAAATATTAAAATAAAATTTAAAATTAAATTAAAATATTATTTTAAAATAAAATAATATTAAAATAATATTTTATAAAAATATTATCACAATCATATAAATATAAATTAAAAAGATTAATTAAATAGAAACTTTTAATAAACTTATAAAAATTTGTTATCTAATTCAATTATCTTAATAACATATTTTAAGAAATTAACATTATAAAAATTGTTTCTCGATTAAGATTAATTATTCATTTTTTCTTTGATTTCTATTTTCATTATTTCAAATACATATTAAAAAATAGATATCTAATTTAAATGTTTATTATTATTTATTATACATTTGCAAAATCAAATTAGTATTTGAAATAGTAATTTTATTTGATATAAATATTATTTCAAATTAATCTTATCTAAGAAAATTAAAATATATTTTTATTTTTTATTTTAGATATTATTATAGAATTAACACAAACAAGAGAAAAAAAGCATGGTGATCTACAAAAATTTAGATATATACTAGAAATATATAGAAATTATAAATTATAATATGAATTTAAAATAATTAGAAACATATATATCTTTGTTGTTTTTTTGACTTAAATGATCAAAGAGTTGAAATCTAGTTTTAATATATTTGCTAGAATAAACTCTTTGACATATAGTAACAAATAAAAACTTAATTCAATGCTTGTTTTATGAAAAATGTGATAATAATTATTCTAAAAATAATTAAAATAAAAAATAAAAAATAAGATTAAGATAATTATAAAGTGAATCTAATAAATAAAATATAACATTTTTTTTCTTTATTAATAATATAGTATATATTAATAATTTAAAAATATAAAAAAAATAATAACTTGATGTAATGTAATTTATAATTTTATATATCTCATTGAAAGTTTAAAGAACGAATAGTATTAAAAAATAGATAATAATAATTAAATAATTAAATAAGAAATAGAAAAATAATTAGTCATTATTTGTTGACAATTGTAGAAAATAATTTTATTTTAAAATCATTTCTTCGATTTTTCAAGTTTGAATTATGAAATTCAACATGAAATCATTCGAGAAAGAAAAAAAATCATTTTTTTTATATGATAAAAGGATTATTCCTTTTGAAATTGCAAGTAAATATATAATTATGCCTTAATTTCGAAATTATATATTACAAAAAATTTTGCGATACATTCGATGAAAATGCAAAAACACTGAATAGTAGCCTAAGAAACTACTAATAAGAAATAAATGAATAGATCATTTATTATTTGTTAAAAAAGTATTGATTTAAAAATTAAAGAATAAAAAAACCTGATATGTGTTATATTTTTATTAGAAAGAATATATATTTCCCGCGAATTTATTCTTAGAGTATTCTCCTTTTTTATCACGCCAGCGAATATATATACTTGAACAATTATCTGTCATGTTACCATTCAAACTGAAGTCTGTTTTTCATTTTATTTTATTATATATTATTATATTATATTATTATATTATTATATTATTATATATAGAATATATTATTATATTCTTATTATATTTTTATTAAAAAGAATATATATATATATTCTTTCTAATAAAAATATAACACGATCTATAAAGAGAATTTATTAATAAAAAATGGATTGTAAATGATTAGGAAAAAATGATATAATTCGTTAAAACTAATATTGGTATTGAATTTCATAAATAGAAATAGATCAAATATCGAAAATAAAACAAATTATGAAACTTAAAAACAAATTTATTATGGAGTTAAGTTTTTTCACACAAAAATATTAGACTTTTGATAAAAATTGAAACAATAATATAAAAATAAACTATATATTACGAAATAATTTACCAACAATTATCAATTTCATCATATAATAAAAATTATAATAAAAATCGTTTCTTTGCAAATTGAGAATTCAAAAATACATAAAAATAATACAGTAAAAATAGTAAAAAATTGGCTTCATAATTAAAATTTTTCGAATGAAACGACATAAAATTCTTAATATTAATCCAATTGAAAATTTATGAATTAATTATTATTAAAAAAAAGTTAAGTAAATTCAAGAATCTATCAATAAGTTATGGATATGATAGGTTGAAAAAAATATTATAATTAGAAATTATAAATAATTTAATATATTTTTTTAGAATATAAACATTGAAAAAAATGAATAACATTAATAATAATAAAATATAATAAAAAGTTGATTTATATATAAAATATTAAAGTACAAAATATTGCGTTATATTTTTTTTTGAAAATATTTTATATATTATTAATATAAACTAAAATAAAAAATTATATTTCATTTATGAGGTTATCTAATTATAATAATCTAATTTTATAAAATATTTGAAATTGAAGCATTTTTCATGAGACAAACATTGAATATTTATATTTTTGCTTTTTATTTTTGTTTACACTTGTTATATATATATATATATATATATATATATATATATCA